TTTAGTTGTAGATGGACACAATTCCTTTATTTATTTATGTGGTGCTGAGGATCGAACCCAGTGTATCATAGGATCATAGGTGCTAGGCAAGTGCTCTACCACTGAACTTCAACCCCAGACCCCAGCATTATATTTTGTTTACCTGTATCAGAAAGGTGGCTGGTCTTACACAGGAGATCTAATTTTCGGTTCCACACACATAAGTCATTCCCACCAGAGAGCCAAACATCTAGTCTCTTAAGAACAGTTAAACACTGCAAAATTGATTTGAAATGTGTGTCAATTTAAAAACTCAAGCATTTCATTGTTCAATGGTTTTAAACTATGCCCACAAGTTCAGATCCTGAGCCAGAACCACTGAGCTAAGATGTTCTCTGTTCCTGACCACAAAAACTATTAGATAATAAATGTTTATTGCTTTAAGCCACTAAACTGTGAGGTAATTTCCTACTCAGTAATAGAAAACACACAATGTTTAAACTCCTTTTTAAATAAAATAGAAAATGCAACCTTAGTTTGAGTTTCAGATTAGTTATCTCCTAATTCTTCCCAATAATTCTGTTTGGTAGACTCAGGATGGTTAGCATATCAAGGACTGATCTTCACCTCTAGTGGCTCCCTAAAGGGCCCCTTAATAGTCCTTTCCTCACCTGCCCACTGGCAGCTTAGAACAAAGACAAGAGCAAGAAAGAATTAAAAGAAAATGAGGAGGTTCTGGTGATCTTGTCTAGGTTGCAAGTAGGGCTGTTTTTAAAAAGAGTTGAAAGCAATCAATGTAGTTTTTATTTCAAGAGGTCCTATGCTGCCTAATCTCTGCTTTAATATCAGTACCTTATTCATTTTATTGCCCAATAATATTCCTCTTTATGGATATGCACATTTTATTTATTCATTCATCAATTGCTAAACATGTAGGTTGTTTCTATCTTTTAGCTATTATGAATAATACTGCTCTGAATACTTGTGGACATGTTTTTATTTCTCTTGGGAATATATCTAGGAGGATAGTTGTGTTAAATAATTCTGTTAAATATTTTGATCAACTGCCAAACTGTTTTCCAAGGTGATAGTACCATTTTACAATCCCACCAGCAATGTATGACGGTTATAGTTTTTTCACATCTTATTAACACTTGTTAAGACTGGTCTTTGGTCTTTTAGACATGAGTCATTCTGGTATGTATAAAATAGTATTCTACTGTATGTATATGTGGGGTTTTCTTGTGTTTTATTTTATTTTTACATAGGGTCTAAGTTACTGAGGCTGGTCTACACATTCAATACTCCTATCTTAGTCTCAAATTGCTGAGATTATCAATGTAGTTTTTGATTTGCATTTCTCTAAAGACTAACAATGTTGAGCTTTTCATGAGTTTCTTGGCTACTTGTCTTATTCAGAGAAATTTGCTTTAAATCTTTTGTTTATTTATCTCTTAATTGTGGAGAATTCTTTGCATATTCTGGATGCAAGTACACTGAATTTGCAAATACTTTTTTCCATTTTACAGGTTATTTTTTCACTTTCTCAGTGGTGTTCCTTTGAAGCACAAAAGCTTTTAATTTTGATGAGGTCCACTTCAATTAATTTTTTTAATAAATGAAATGTTTTCAATTTAATTATTTTGTAGGTGAATATCTTGTTGCATTAAGCTTTTTTTTTTTTTTTTTTTTGAGACAGGTATCTCCCTAAGTTACCCAGGCTGGTCTCAAACTTCTGGACTCCTCCTACTTCGGCTTGCAGAATAGCTGAGACTATGGCACCTGGATCAGCATCATTTTTTTGAAGTCTTGTCTTTCTTCCATTGAAGGGTGTTGGCACCATGTCAAAAATCACAAATATTGTCTATATAAGTGAGATTTTATTTCTGGACTCTCAATTATATCCCTTTCATCTGTGTGTCTACCATTATGCCAGTATAACACTGACTTGATTACTTCAGTGTTATGTAAGTTTTTAAATGGGGAAGTGACTGTCTTACAATTTTGTTCTTCCTTTTCAGGACTGTTTTGGCTATTCTTGCTTGCCAGTTTCTGAAATAAAAAGTCAGCTATAATTTTGATAAAGATTTTGTTCCATCTGTAGATCAATGAGTGGTGCTATAATCTTAACAATATTAAATCTGATCCATGAACATGGAATATTCTCTTCAGTTATTTAGATCTTCTTTCAACTCATTTTGAAATTTTTAATGAAAAAATCCTGAACTTCTTTAAATTTATTCCTAAGTGTTCTATTCTTTTGGATGTTACCATAAATGGATTTTCTTAATTTTTAGAGGGTTAAATATTAGTAAATAACAAATACGACTGATTTTTATATATTGATTGTGTATCCTGAAACCTTAATAAATTAATATATTAGCCTTATAAGTTTTATTGTGGATTTAGGTTCTATATGCAAGATCACATCGTTTGTAAATATAGACAGTTTCAGTCCTTTCTTTCCAAATTGATGTCATTTATTTCTTCTTTATTGCTAATTGCCCTGGCTAGAACTTCAAGTACTATACCAAACAGAGCGCTCAGTGCAGACGCTCTTCCTTTGTTCCTGATCTCAGGAGGAAGAGTGTTCAGTCTTTTGCCCTTAATAAAATCCTAGTTCACAGAGTATTTTTATCATTAGAGGGCACTGATGTTTATTGAATACTTTCTCTGCATCTATTGAGATGATCATGTGATTTTTACCAAATATTCTTACTATGATGTACTTCATTGACTGATTTTCTTATGTAAAATTAGGCTCATACTAATGGGATAAATCTCCCTTGATTATGTTGCATAATCTCCTTTTATATATTACTGGATTTTATTTGCTAATTTTTTTAAATATTTATTTTTTAGTTGTACACAATACCTTTATTTTGTTTAATTATTTTTATGTGGTGCTGAGGATCGAACCCAGGGCCTCACAATTGCCAGGCGAGTGCTCTAAGGCTGAGCTACACCTCCAGTCCCTTGGTTTGCTAATATTTTATGGATATTAATGTACTGCTTTTGTTACATAACATTATCATTAGCATGGTTCAAACTCTTTATAGTCTTCTGAAGTGATATTTTTAAAAAAATATTTTTAGCTGTAGATGGAAACAATAACTTTATTTTATCTATTTACATTTTTATGTGGTGCTGAGGACAGAACCCAGTGCCTCACATGTGCTAGGCAAGTGCTCTACCACTGAACCACAACCCCAACCCCTGAAATGACATTTTAATGAGTGTGTATATGTGGGTATCTATATGGGGTGTGTGTGTGTGTGTGCACACATGCATATAATTTCTTAAATTTTAATTTTTTATTCTAATTAGTTATACATGACAGTAGAATACATTTATGTACTTTGATATATATAAGTGCAGTATAATTTCTCATTTTTCTTATTGCACATGTTATAGAATCACATTGGTCATGCAGTCATATATGCATAAGGTAATAATGTCTGTTTCATTTTATTATCTTTCCTACCTTCATACCACTTCCCCTCCCTTCACTCCCTTCTACCTAATCTAAAGTAACTCTATTCTTCCCTAGCCACCCCCCCTTACTGTGAATTAGCTTCTGCATATCAGAGAAAACATTCTGCCTTTGGTTAATATTTTTTGATTCATTAGTAAAGCCTAACTGCCTTCCAGCAGAGCATGTGAATTTATTCTCTCAAAAAGCAATAAAAATGTCAATTTCACTATCTCCTTGCTAACACTCATCCTGATAAGAAAAATTTACTAGTTCAAATGATAAATAATAGCATTTCACATATATAGCATTTCATATATATATGAAATTCTTAAAAAATTATCTCTTCAAGAACAACTGATCTAATAAACTAAAGTGAACACAATATTACTTGTTTAACAATTTTTTTTTGTAAAGCAGGATCACAGTCAGAGTAAACAAATACAAGTACCTAGCTAATTTCAATAAAACCCCTTTATAAGGTATTTTTACCATACTGAAATAAGGCACTTTATTATTGACCAGTTCCTATGACTAGTTCATGAAACAGTCCCAAAAGGAACTTCCCCCAAAGATGCTAATTTTTTTTTCTCCTTCTCTATTCCTTCAACTCAAGTATTTTCAATTGAAACCTAATGACCTTGTTTTTTCAGATAGTAGGAATTATTTTTAAGAAATATATAAGTAACATCTTTTCATATCATTTAGAGATTTTGCTCAAGTCAATACTTTAATGACTTCTTCAGAGAAAGTTCATTGGTAAACTAAATATAAGCATACAGGACATAGTACTTCTTTCCCCAGAATCTTTATTGTTATTCATAACAGCACAGTGCCATGAGGTAGCTACCAGAGATGCTGCCTTTTAGGAAAAAAAAATCTTTTCACTGTTGGGGAAAAAAAAAAAAAAGTGTTATCTCCAACATGAAGCTCAGTTAGCTTTAAAGCAAATGAGGAAACACCTCATTTTACTAGTGTCTTTTCCTAAACTGGCTAACATTAAAAAACAGTGTTACTTTCTTAGAACATTTAAGGTAATTTCTTTTGTATGAATCACAAGTAACCAAGACTTATCCATGTTTGTTTCTCCAACATGTAGCAGAGTTTCTCTCACATAAGAAATGCTAAATGATGTTTGTAAAATTAATGAACCTAATAGAAGCTAATTAGTCACGAAAGATTTTTAATTTTAGAACTAATTGACATATCTTTATGACCTTAAAGATAACTCCATATTTTTAGTTCAAAGAATAAAAAAAAAAACCCGACTAGTTATTGTTACAGTCTTCCTATAAGTGGCATCTCAGGATTACCTACTAAAAATATGCCCAGTTCTATTTTCTTTCTTATCTTGCTAGAATAATTAGCCCCTGCTCTACTTTCCATTTGAAACACTGTTAAGAGTCAATACATATGTTCACAAAAATCTAGTCTTAGAATCATGTGACTGCAGGTGTCTGTGAAGAAATAATTTTTAAATCTCCCAAAGTAATTTTATGTACTTTATTTAACCATTTTTTTCCTAAGACAAAAACGGATTACCATTAAAAACTCTTAACTTCTTTAAGATTTTTACCTTTACAGTAGACTGGAAACATGATACTCTCTGAACTTGTCTGCCAGTATCAGAATCCCATACCTAAATTTATGTTAAGAAATAATTTCTAAGTAGAATTTTTAAAATCTTAATTATGAGATAACTTTTTCTAATTAGAATGAAATCACAAACATTAAACATTCAGTTAGAAGATCTTTAAATAAAACATAAAATATTTAATACTTATACTACCACAAAATTTAATTCATATAGTAAGTCATCAACTTAGCAGAGCAGGCTTACGATCTACAATAAGCTTGAGGTAAATTTTACTACCAAACTATTTGCCAATGCCAGCAGAATGAGTGGCCTGATACTGAATCTTTACATGCATTAAATACTGTAAATGTTTAAGGTTTATTCACTGAAACAGTCTGCCGTAATCTAATAAACATGAACATAAAGAATTTATACTAAAAAGTGTCACATCTGTTAATTGATATTTCCTAAAGGGTCCCTGCAGTATGCGTGGCATGATTTACTACTGTTATCCTGATTCAAAGAAGACACAGTATACTACTGTTACCTGTATACATATTTAAAATAATTATAATCACCTTGAAGTACTATTAGAGTATTTTAGGAATAGTTTAATAAAGAGAAAGTATTTTAAATTCTATATTTGTAGCTTATACTGAAAAAGAAAAAAAAAACAAAGGAAAATAATACTTGCCTCAATGCAGCAGTAGTATTAAAGCAGCTCTGGTTAACATATGAGCAAATTTTTGTCCTTGTTTATGTCATACTTTAATCACCAAGACACACGTGCTCATGTATGTGTGTATATGTGTGTGTGTGTAGGTATATATACATATATGTGTGTATATATACATACATATATGTATATATATGTATATAGTATATACACACCCACACCCATACACACACACACACACACACACACACACACACACACATACATCTATTGCCATTTAAACCTTTTCTTGGAAGTTTTCTCACCTATAGGCAATGTGTCTGGAAAACACTTCAGCTGAAGAATTTCTTTAAAGTGTGTTATTAAATAGTATGTCTTAGTACTATCAAAGCCTAAGAAATAGTGTCACTAATCCTTGAAACTGTTTAAACAGAACTTCAGATAATCATAAACATTTTAAAGTCAATCTGATACCTTAAAAATAAAAATGAAGGACTATAGTTATCTCTAGCACTTGGCTATGAGCTTCACAGATTCAATTCCTCATATAGATAGTATATGAGGATGAACTTGTTTATAGAAAATATTTTATGAAGACAGTGTCACAGTGTCCTATAGTGGTCCAGAGTTTGTTTCCCTAAATTGAAAAACAAAAATAAGATAATAAAAAAACTTTAAGCCCACTTTCTCCCATTTCCTCCATTTTACACAACTTGATATAACAGTAACTCTGGAAAGAACAGCTTTAGTCATGGGGTTTCCATCAATACAAGCCTTAACCTGCTATTTCTAGTCTAATACTTTTCAGATGCCTAATACTTTTAAGAAGTGTCTTATGAAGACTACAATAAAATCATTTTTGCTACATAAGGTAGATAGGCCCCTAGAGTCTAAAGACTGATAATGCATGTAGTTGTCCCTTGGGCCACTGTGGCTATTTCACTTTCTTCTAGATTTAAGGATATAATAACTGTTCGATCAGCAGAGGCTGTCAAGATGAGTTGATTTTTTTCTTCACAAGATTCCAAGGAAGGAAATGTAATAACAGCTGTTATCTTTTGAGTGTGTCCACTGAGTTCCAAAAGCTTTTCTCCTGTCTAAAATACAAAAAAAAAAAAGTTAATAGGTTCATCTTTCATAATTTAAATAATCTTAAATAACATTAAGAAGAGGGCTGGGGCTGTAACTCAGTGGTAGAGCACTTATATAGCATATGTGAGGCACGGGGTTCAATTCTCAGCACCACATATAAAGTTCATCAACAACTTTAAAAAAAAACAAACATAAAATACACATATATTTTGTTTAAAGTTACTTATTCAAGACATAATTTTAGGGTTGGGGATGTGGCTCAGTGGTAGAGTGCTTGCCTAGCACACACAAGGCCCCAGGTTCAATCCCCAGCACCACAAAAACAAAAAAATGAATCAATAAATATATCATAGTTAAAAAAAGACATAACTTGAGTTAAAACAATTGAATGGAATCTAAACAAGTGCTGAGAGAAAAGCAAAAAAAATTTGATAATTTTCTAATGAAAAATGCCAACTGTAGCAATATTTCATAGAGAATTTAAAGGAATATCCTTTTCTATGGTTTTAAGAATTGTGTAAATGAAGCAAATATAATAAGCAATTTAATCTGTATAAAAACAACAGAAAGTCATTATTATCCATGTATGTTATCTAACTCTATATAGTTATGAGTTGTGGAAGAAAATAACATGTGTGTATATGTGTATATGCACTGACTAACCACTTATAGTTAGTTTCCACTCCATTGAACACCAGCCTCTATCCCCACCCATTCAGTGTCTACCTCCATTAGTCTACCATTGATTTCCCAAGAAACAAACATACAAAAATAAAATTTAAATATAATATAAATTGCAAATCTTTCAAGGTTGCAGGATTTCATGAATGTGGTGAAAGTACAAGTGGACCTCTGTATCTACTAGTTCTGTATCCATGGATTCAACCAAATAAAAAATAGTTGGAGGACTCATTTACACACCAAAAAAATATTTTGTACTGAAAATATTTTTAAAAATTGTGTCTGTACTAAACATGTATAAATTTTTATTTCTTGTCCTTATTACTTAAATACAATGTAATGAGTATTTATATAGCATTTACATACAATCTAGAGATGATTTAAAGAACATGAGTTTAGTATAAGAATACATATTTTATATGTATGTATGTATATATATTCTAAACCATTTTATGAGGGACTTGAACATCAATAGATTTTTGGTATGGGAAAGGAGGGCTGGAACCAATCCCTCGTGGATATTGGGAAACTGTAATGTTAAATAGCAGGGGTTTTTTTTGTTGTTGTTGTTTTTAAATAACTTATTTTATTTATTTATCTATCTATCTATTTATTTATTTTTATGTGGTGCTGAGATCAAACCCAGGGCCTCACATGTGCTAAGTGAGCGCTCTACTGCTGAGCCACAACCCCAGCCCAAAGAGTTGTTTTAATCATAGGCAAAGTCACTAAGAAAAACTAACACGGATCTGACAGACTAGATAACAACAAAATAAAGTAAGTGAAGAAAAATACTAAGAGAATAATTTGAGAAACAAAGGATCAGGAAGAGAAGCCTTGGGGAAACCTGGTGAAGCATTATATATTTTGAAAAAAAATATTCCTTTCATTCCATTAAAGTCAAACATGAGAAGAATGCTATATTATGCTATCATACAATACTGAAATAAAAACTGTGGCTCTCACAAAATCAATACTTGATTCATTCTGGAAGTCGGTGCATAGTTGATGATGATCTAAATTTTGTTCAACAAAATTAAAACTTTTTTATAATTGCCATTCTGACTGGAATGAGATGGAATCACAGTATAGTTTTAATTTGCAATTCTCTAATTGCTAGAGATATTGGACATTTTTTCATATACTTTTGACCATTGGTATTTCTTCTTCTGTGAAGTACCTATTCAGTTCTTTTGTTCACTTATTGATTATTTTTTGTTGTTGTTATTATTGTTGTTGCTGTTAAGTACTTTGAGTTCTTAGTATAACCTGGAAATTAGTGCTGTATCTGAGGTATAGGTGGTAAAGACACTCTCTCATTCCGTAGGCTCTCTGTTCAATGTTCTTGATTGTTTCCTTTGCAATAAATAAGTTTTTAGTTTGATACCATCCCATTTATTGGTTCTTGATTGTACTTCTTGTGTTTTAGTAGACTTGTTGAGGAAGTCATTTCCTAATGATGTAGGGCTGGGCCTACTTTTTCTTCTAGTAAGCGCAGGGTCTCTGGTCTAACTCCAGTCAGAATGGCAACTACCAAGAGTACAAGTAACAGTAAATGTTGATGAGGATGTGGGGAGAAAGGTTCTCTCATTTATTGAGAAAGGTGGGACTGCAAATTGGTGCAACCACTATGGAAAGTAGTATGGAGATTCCTTAGAAAACTTGGAATAGAACCACCATTTGACCCAATTATTCCATACTCGGTCTATACCCAAAGGATTTAAAATTAGCACACTTCAGTGACACAGCTACATCAATGCTTACAGCAGCTCAATTCATAATAGCCAAACTATAGAACCAACCAAGATGCCCTTCAACAGATGAATGGATAAAGAAAATTATACACACACACACACACACACACACACACACACAACGGAATATTATCAGGCATTAAGAATGATTTTTATGGCATTTGCTGGTAAATGGGCAGAACTGGAGAATATGGTGCTAAGTCAAATAAGCCAATCCCCAAAACCAAAAGCCAAATGTTCTCTCTGATAATGTGGATGCTAACTCACAACAACTGTGCATAGGGAGGGGAAAAACAGAAGTCCATTGGATTGGACAAAGGGAAATGAAAGGAAGGGATGGGGAGGAGAATAAGAAGGACAATAGAATTAATCAGACATAACTTTCCTACCCTTGTATTTGAATATACAACCAGGGTAAGTCCATAACATATAGAACCACAAGAATGGGATCCTAAATAGAATAAGTCATATTCCATGTATTATAATATGCCAAAATACATTCTACTGTCGTGTAAAACTAAAAAGGGCAAATAAAAAATAAATTAATTCTAAAAAAGGTTAAGACTTATTTTTGAAAAACAGTAATTATTTCTCATGAAAACTTGCCCTCTTTACTATGAAATACTGGTCCTGTTAAATGAAATTATCCAAGTAGGCCTTTTCAAATATTGATTAGTCTCAAATAACAATGTTATGCAAATATACCCCATTATAGTATTTATATTTTAATACACAACTATACTGTCATATATTTACTACATGATTCATATATAATCAATACAAACCTGGGCATTCCAAATGACTACAATTCCATCATCCCCAGCAGATGCAAATCTAGTTAGAGGAAAAAAAGTCAAGAAAAAAAATCACTAATGAAATTTAATTGCCAAATTAACTAGGAACTATCAGGTCTTATCAATGGTATTTTACTCACTAATATTAATGAAGAATAGGTTCTTTAAGCTAATTTAACAAATATCTGTAAAATACCTTCAAAGTTCGATGCCAAGTAGTAAGGATCCAAAGATTAAACCACATTTATAGGGCTACAAAAAATAACCTGTTAGAAATGTAAACATGAGGTTATACATAGATGACCTCTGAAGTCATTCCTTGCTTTATAAGTCTATGGGGTTTTGTTTGTTTGTTTAGTGCTGGGGATTGAACCCATGTAAAGTCTATGATTTTAATAAATTTCTGAATAATGAAATGAAACTAAGAAGAACAGCTTCACTGACAGGAGATAACAGTCCAGGCAGGGATAGAACAGAATCATGTCCTTAGTTTCATTATTTCTATTATTTTCTCTGTAAGGGTATTTTAACTCTATTACTTTGAGGCAAGAGTTTTCCTTTGCTTATCTTGGCTCTTGGTCTTTCTACAAAAGTTGTGTTCTTGGTTTGGAAAGCTTGAGGGGTTTTTTTTGTTGGCAGTTTTTAACAGAGATTCTTAAAATTCAAAGAGGTAAAAGAAAGTTGTCTCATGGCATGAAAAAAGAGTTGTGATAAACTCTGTTACAGATTATCTCTACTTTACCTCCCATTCTCTCTATATAAATATAAGAATAATAATCTACATTCTGTAGAGTAAAAGGCATCCTTAACACAAACAATTGTCAAGAAAATAATCTGTCAAACAGGATTATTCATCATAGAAACTACTGTAACAAGATCAAGAAACCAAGCATTAAACTAACATGCTGGTATTAAAAAAAAATCAAACTGTAAGCATGTCAATGTTATTAATTATGTAGAACACAAGTTTATAAATGAATTTTAACGACTCAGAATCAGTTCAAAGTTGTCCCCCAAATATCACTTTCAACCACTTGAATTCAGATTTGATTTTTTGAATAAGAGAAAGAAGTGGTAGTATAGACAGCTGTGGGATGCCACTCATGACTTATTTGAGTTTATCTGAGCATCTTCGTTTGACCTTGAGCCAGGGAGATTTAGGTTTGGCATTGCAAACTATTTTGTGACTCCTCCCACTCAATGGATTGCACAATTCATGTGACCTCTGTCTTTGCTCAGCTAGGGAGACTGCTCTCTGAAGTTGGCGTAACCTGTTGGAAACTCGAAAGACCACCTCCTACCTTATTTGACAAAAAACATTCCGTAGAAAACCTTTGATGCTTCCCCCATATAAATAAAGCAAGCATGGGCTCTCTTGCTCTCTTTCCAGTGTGGAAGCATGATCCCTAAAATGGAAGAGCCATCCCACCTCTGCTTTCTAAAATTATTTCCTGTGTCCTGTGGTTTCTTTGCCGTTTTCTCTTTCTTAGCTTTTATTTCACAGTCAGCCCACTTCACGGAAAGGAACCCCAAATTTCACTGCCTGCGGGGGATGTGGGCAAAAGACAGCCAGCTATGAACTGCATATACCTGGCCTCTTATAGTTCATAACCATTAACAAACAATATTCCAGCAACAACTATGACATTTATAAAATTTGTTGTATGTACTTCCCTGCAAGATGATTAATAGGTTTCGCAAATCTGGGTATGCCTAAAATGTCTCCATTTAAGTGAACATTGTTGGTTGGACACATATTATTAAGAGAAAAGTAGAGAACACAGAAATCACTTTGTTCCTACAAGAGCTTCAATTCTTGTAGGAACTTATGTATCTCATGTTACCCCCCACATGAGACACATAAATTCTCATGATTTCAGTCATGTAACACCTTCTTTAACACTCCAAACTGTGCTTCAAATTGAAAATTCTCATACTGTTTTTAACTTTCCTTTCTAACTGTTGTCTTCACTGGTTCGGATAAGTTCCATACTCAATTCAAAACTCTACAATTAGATCTCCTACCGTTAGAGCTAAGAGGTTACCCTGGAAATAGATTTGTCAAACACAGTGAGATGGAGCCGATCAATAATTCTTTAATACAACACTATATTTTTAATGGCAAGGACCTTAAAGCTTTTCATTAAACTAGCTAGAAACCACACAAAGGGTTCATTTTAAATTCACGCTTCACATTCATATTTATTTCAAAATGTAAGAGATAAAAGATCTGATTAAAAAGAAAAATGATCACTTTAAGTTAAAAAAATAATTTCCTATGCTTAATGACATACATTTTCTGAATCCAAATACTAAACAGTGCCTTGAGTATCAAAAGTAGTCACTGGAAGTAAATCTTTAATAACTTACGTTTCTGAGCCTATTGATTTCTTTTTATTTGTATAGTAACGGCACGGAAGGCAGCACTCAGGTCTTGAGTTTTTTTTGGTATAAAACATCAATTTCTATTGATTCTTTAAACTCTCATAATTGCTTTTCTCCCGTTTAGAAGGCTATAGGTTTAAAATACATACTTTTTTCTAACCCTGCTTTTTAACTTCTCATTATTGTTTTATCATGTTTGAATCTCACAATGAGAGATGGGTTCACAATGAAAGATAACAACCAAGAGTTTAGAAACGAATTACAGAGCACTCCACCTCAAATTTTAATTCAATCAATAGGGAACAAAAGTTAAATCTAAACAATGCTCAATAGTAATGCATGAAATCACAGCCAATTTTTTATTGTTCAGAGGTCAATTACCCAGTTGGCAGCTTACTCAGGCCTTTCAATTTTCACACACACACACACACACACACACACACACACACACACACATTTTATATCCTCTCATGGTTGACTTTAAAATATATATATATTTTTTCTCTCCTCCATAGTTGCCTTTTTTTATTTTTTAGTCATTTCAGTATTTATTGATATTGCCTCCAAATACGAAACAAAAAGCTTTAAAATGCAAACCAGTATGACTTAGCTACATATTAGTATCTCTCATAAAAGAATTCATAAATGGTTAGGAGATCATTCATGGATTACAATTAACCCTCTTAAAATGAAGAATAACTAAAAACTGATGCACTATCTCAGACATGTACAACCAGATTCTAGTCAGCCAAGCACACTCCAAACATTTCCCTATCAAAAAAATGAAAATTCAACTCAATAATTCCTAGTAAGATATATTGTAACTGTTGAAAGAAAGTAATGAAATATAAAAAAATAAAAAATAAAATGTCAGTAAGGTTTAAGCTATTTAGTGAAAGGAAGAATGGTGACTGTATACATTGCCATAATATTTTATATACTGATATTTCAAAACAATACTCTAATGGAATCCAAAGACTTAAAGCCTCAATATAAGATTTTGAGAAAAATGTTTCTTTATTGTTTAGCACAAAATGTATTGATTGAAAAAAATAATGTATTCAGTGAAATTCTGCAATAGTTTTAGGGAAATTTAAGAAGAATAATATGTGACTCTTGCCTTGTACTATATTTCAACAAATCTAAAATATCAGTGTGTAAAACACTCTCTATAATTATGTATCAATAAGGAAAAAATGCTGCCAATTATACTGAAATATACCATCGATGAGATAACATGTCCAAATTTTAGAGATATTAAAAATTAAGAAACAATATGCTTTTTGGAACAAAACATAGTAATTACCATATTTATTAATCTTCATGACAATTTACAGTCTAACAAATTTCTGATTATCTCTGGTAGGTTTAAGGTGCTAAAGACATGCTTGTCAAATGAATAAAGGCATGAATAAGCAAATACTTAAGTGTTACAGAGCTCTGTAAAATAGAATCCTTAATGGCATTAATGTAACATCATTTTTTCCTTTATCATTATTAATGGGTCTATATATTATTACAACAAAAATAGAAATTAAAAACTTTTAAACCCAGAATCCCACCACACAAAAATAAAATCTTTTTATTTTTTCCATATTCCCATCTAATTCCTATGTATATCCTTTAAGTTTCATCTTGAAACCAAGTTTTTAAAAATACTCTGAGTCTGTACAAATCACACACACACACACACACACACACACACACACACTTACGTGCATGAAAAACAAGTTTAACAAGGAGAGGCACAGTTTAACAAAGACCTATTGCAGACCTTCTACAATGTTCCATCTTCTACTAATTATGAGAATTTATTGAGTCAATGAGTAAATTTATTGACTCATTCATTCAAGAAATACTAATTAAGCACTAATTGTATATATGTTATATTCTGAAAATAAGGACCAATAAGAAATGGTTCTTGCTCTATGAAAATTCAGTCTAACATTATCAGTGATACTACCAGATCTAGATCAAGAGTCTACTGAGAATTTTCACAATAATTTCAATTTTCAGAAATCATTTCCCTAAACTCCTTTTTGAACATCTTAGAGTACTCTTATCCTTGCCAATTGTGTGCTGAAAGTACAACAGAGTTTCACAAAGATTTGTATAAAATAAAATGGTTTCACAAATAAATTCTATGTCTATTACTTAAATGCTCATTTAATAGTTATTACTCATGTGAAGGCATTTCAATTAAGACAAAGGTCCTATAAATTCAAATATAATCTTAAAGGATATAATAAAAAGCATAGCACTTGGACATAAACTTTATTCTACTCAATACATGCATAACTATAAACTACTGGAAAAATCAAAATAGAACATGATTATGGCAGTCCCAGAGGTTAACTTTCTAACTAATCCCCCAGTACTAATGCGTTATTAAATTAAAATGTTATATTTTACAATAAAATAAAATGGAAAAAATGCTGTTATCAGAAAACAGACAAAACTGAAAAATAACACAATTTCCATTTAAAAATTATTTTCATTTGTATGCTAGAATTACTTGAAGGAAATTACAAAAGTATGCAGCTAGAGACTTACAAGAAAAGTTGAAGAGAACTTTAAAGCATTTTCAGGAGTCATAGATATTGATGCCACTGATTCTTTCATTAGAATTACTTGAACTTAAAACTTTTTTCCATG